CGCTGGAGCTGCAGCAGTCGGGTGAGAGTTTCGTGCTTAGTCGTTTCCACGGTCTCAACGAACTATAAAAGTCACTTAAACTGATATTACTTATCACCCAGTCACTAACCGCCTATACAACTATTACAAATTACTTGAAAAAGCGAGAAGAAGTAGTTTTACCTTTTCCAAATCAAGGTATCCTTTCTTGGAAAACGGCTCCAAGCAAGCTCTTATAGCATCTTTTTTATCTGCAGGCTGAAAACGCCAAATTTAGTTGAGTGGCCAAAACTGATTCAAGAAAAAAGTAGCTTGCTCGCGTTGTGTATGTTTGTGGAAGGGAGTAAAACTAACCACTTGGCTGACTATCTGCTCCACATTGAGCCGCACATCTTGCTTACGAATCCGCTCCATGTCATCACTATCAACTACTAGATCTTCGAGTCGTTCAAAAATGCGGAATGCGTGGTCGTAGTCAACTTCATCTAAATAATATATTAAAGTGTTAATAACAGGAACTCGTCTGAGGCAGCAATACAAAACTTTATCGAACCTTATCCAAACAAATACGTTCCACTTTGTGAATTAAATTCCAAAATTAGTGAATTGAAAGTATAGTTTTGCTAATAAATGGTCCGATGTTATTTTGATAAGCAGCAATATAGAAGTTCCATTTGTGTGTAGATATTATAACTTAATGAAATAATTTACGCTGATTGTCACGCGCGAATTTTATATAAGATCTTAAATCTAGTAAAAAAAGGAGATACCCTCATTAAAACTGGCAACATAAAAAAATCTAAGGAGTTTTTTCAATAGTGTCATTCAGATATCCCTCTAAAAAGTCGACATTTAGGTTACCTTTACCGAAGAAGAATTTCACATTCTGTACGGTTCAAATGGTTACAGCAATGAGTAAAGAGAAATATGAAAGTGATGAAACAACCCTTTGCCTGTAGCTTTTCGTTGAATTTGATGTTGCCGACCAACTATTCAAGAGCCGCAGAAGCTATTTATCCTTCCACTGAAACACTTTGCAGGTATGTTGCAGGTAAGGCAGGTTTGGAGTCAGGATTTCAAGAATTGGCTAAAAATTCTTTCATGAAAGCACAGATAGTACCGAAATTTTTTTGAAA